AAATAAAATTACGATTTTTGGCCAAAGATTTTCTATGCATTCTATAATTCTCTTTATAGTATTACGTACTTATGTACGTACGCACGTACATACGTATATCGATGCGTACGTATAAATTTCTTAATTGCCTTAAGAATAAATTCATTTTTGACACATAATTGGTTTTCAAATATTAGTCATCAAATAAATTATAAATAGAATACTCGGGTCTAAAAGCGAGACAAGTCAGCTTTCGGATTCGGATTATTTCGATTGTTGGTACGTATATGCTATCTACATATCCTGTATAATGTATAATTTGTATTTTACGCTGTACGTACAGTACAATTTAGTACCTGTACTATTTATCTATACTATTTACCTGTACTATTTACTTGGCATTTTTAATTTTTTTTTTTATTTGTGATGCATTTATTAATATTGTGTACGTCATTCGTGATATATAACAAAAAATAATAATTAACATAAAGAGAATTCGTCCTTGTATGTATACATAGTTTATCAATATGCATATATATATAGTATTCCTAACAATATGTTCAATATGATGCATCATTAATGCCTTTGTTTTATTTTATATACAATATTTATTCATTATCTTTTCTTTAGTGTCACTCATGCTATTATCTTTCGTGCTCCTTTATTCGGTTATCTAAATTATTAAAAAACCAACTGTTGTTAATCTTATGCTTTCACAAAATGGTTCACACATAAATAATAGATACATAAGTACGTACATATTTAATATAATTTAAATTACAACTCAAAGACTTGAGGATCTTCTTCACTAGCTGAATTTGCTAACCGTACGTTTTGCATACGTATGTGCTAATTTGTACCTAGTGCATGCCTCACGCTAAACAATTAAAAAATATTAAGGTAACATTAATTTTGATATGGCTTTTATTAACTGAGTTTACTCCGATACGTAATTGGTGTAAATATAGTTGTCCGCGTTTATACTTATGTACACATAATTGACATTTTCTATGTATGTTTCATATGCATTAGGCAAGTCACAAGCCACTAAATCAAAGGCCAATTACTTCCCAGATTGGTAATGCTCTTTAAGGTGGAACGTTTCAACCTTTTCCCGACTTAATAACATCCCGCCTTTTTTTTATACTTTGTCTCCTATTGATCATAACTTTAACTCTCTTTCCCCCCCTCGATTATAAAAAAAAAAAAAAAATCTATTATTATCAATTACACTTATATATATATTTATATATTTTTCTTTCGAAGCAATCTTCTTTTTTTTTTCTTTTTATTTTATTATTTTTATCGTTTTTATTATTGTAGTTAGGAAATGCCTTCAAAAAAAACAACTTCTAAAGAAAATCTTTCCCAGCAACAAATTTCAATCAATGTTGGCCGAGATGATGGTTTGACGTCAAACGACAACAATGTATCTTCTGCTGGACAGGATGTGACCTCAACAAATAGCATAAATAATGTGATAAATTCTGATACGAATAAAACTACCATAATAGGGCAGGATACCCCTAATAAAATTCGTAGTAATGATGAGAAATCTGAGAAATCCTCGGTAAAAACCGCGTCTCGCTCTAAATCAAATATTACTCAATCTTCAAATAAGTCGAATTCGACTTCGGCTAATACAAAACAAGTTAACTCTACAAAAGAAAGACAAAAACCAAATCCAATTATTACTACTATTCGTGCAAAATCTGATTCTGACAAGAAAAAAGTTACGCCTACTCCTAAAACTAAGAATATAAATTCTCGAAAACAAAATAATGAAGTAATCATAGACGATGATTCTTCTGAAAATGATAATAATTCGTCAAATAAAAAACGTTCAATACCGCCGAAATTGAACCTTGCTTTCAAAAATCGTCCTATTGATCCTCCAAAACAGTCTCCTTTAAGATCTACCATTACTTCTGATTCATTGGCAAAACCTCTTATATCTCCTAAAATAATGGAATTACGTCGCTCTGAATCTTTTACTTCAAAGTCTAATAATAATACTGATGAGAATACTAACTCTATTACCGAAAATCCTAAAAAAAAATCAACAAAACAACCAACTTTCTCTTCTAAAGTCCGCCGTGGCTCCACTGTAAGAACTCAAGCTAAAAAGACTACTTCTGCTTTGGGCGTCTTACCTAAAGGTGAACTTAATCAAGAATTACTTGCAAGATTGGAAGAGCGAAATTCTCAACTGCCTCCGCAGGTATTTAATATCTTATTTTCATATCATTTTTTGTATCTTATTTTCATATCTTAGTTTTTATATCTTATTTATATATATATATTTTATTTTATATTTTATTTTATATCTTAATTTTATTTTCTATATATTCTTTCTATATATATATTCTTTCTTTCTATATGTATTCTTTCTATATATTCTTTCTATATATTCTTTCGATTAATTCTAACACTATTTCATTATTTTATTCCTTTTTTTTTTTTTTTTAGGATTCTACTGAATTTCTTCTTGCTCGTCTTGAACGTCAAAATGAAATGTTGGATAACGATCCTAAATCAGTTTGCATTAAATATAATGTCCTTCAAGCCGATTTAGAAACTGTTCGATCCCTTATCAATAATAATATGAATTTATCTGTAAAGGATGCTTCAAATGAAATGATTCGTAATTTTGAAAATGAAAACCTTTCTGATATAGTTGATTTGGATTTTTGGACTGCTTTAATTCAAGATTATACTTCTGTGGCTGCAAAACTTCCTCATCTTCTTGCTGCAAAATTACAACAAGGTTTACCTTCAAAATTAAGAGGTTTAATTTGGCAATCAATGTCTCAAGCTTCCTCAACTTATCTCGAAACAATGTATTCTCAACTTTTATCGGAATCTTCTCCTTATGATAAGATAATTCAACGTGATTTAGCTAGAACTTTTCCTACTATAGACATGTTTAAGGAAGAAAATGGTGAAGGTCAAACTATGCTCTGGAATGTATTAAAGGCTTATAGTCTTTATGATCCTTTGGTAGGATATTGTCAAGGTCTCGGTTTTTTGGTCGGTCCATTGCTTATGAATGTAAGTTTGCTTTTATATGCTAGTTATACGCTAGTTATTTATATGCTAGTTGTATGCTAGTTATTGATATGCTAGTTATATGCTAGTTATATGTTAGTTATTTATATGCTAGTTATATGCTAGTTATTTATATGCTAGTTATATGCTAGTTATTTATATGCTAGTTATTTATATGCTAGTTATATGCTAGTTGCTAGTTATATATATGCTAGTTCATTGTCATTTATATTAAACTATCATTTATTTTTATCAGATGAATGAAGTTCAAGCTTTCTGTGTTTTCGTTAGGTAATTGTCAACTTGGTTCTACTTTTACTGTTATATTTATTTGTCTAATTATATATTTATATTTTTTTTAAACTTAACGTGTAGATTGATGGAAACATATGATATGCGAACAATGTTTACACTTAATATGGAAGGGCTTCAACTTAGACATTACCAATTCTCAGCTCTTCTCTCGCAAATTCTTCCTGATATCCATGCTCATTTCCTTGAATATGGAGTTAACGTAGCAATGTTTGCTTCTCAATGGTTCTTATCCCTTTTTGCCTACACATATCCCTTACCACTTGTCTTAAGAATCTATGATATCGTGTTTGCTGAAGGTGCTCCAGAAACAATCATGCGTGTTGCCGTTGCTCTATTACAAAAGAATGAAGCTAAATTACTTGAACTTGAAGAATTTGAAGATTTATTAGATTTTCTTACTACAAGCCTTTACGATTCTTACAATAATGAACCTACTGGTTTAATACGTGATGCTATGGCTTTAAGTTCTGTAATTACAAAAGCAAAATTGGATCAACTCTCCGAGATTTATGTTAAAGAATTGGAAGATCAAAAGAAGAGAGCTGATGAATTAGTTGCCGTTAGGTTCAATGGAAGATTTGGTAGAAATAAAAAAGAAAAGAAGAGTCGTGAGAAACGTGATAAACCTAAACGTTGGTCTTTCGGTTCCCTTCCAAGTTCAAAGGATTCTTCAAAAGATTCTTCTAGTACTGCTAGTGAGTCTACTTCGGAAAATGAATCCTCTCAACTCCAAACTCCAACTCCTCTTTCTCCAACTAGCACAAACGTTGGTATTTTACATCAACAAATAGAAGATCTCGTAGCTGCTCTATCTCATCTTCAAAAGGAACATGTAGATATTACCGAACAATTAGTGACTATTAAAATGGAAAAGATGGACTTTATAACAGAAATTGAAACATTAAAATCGAAATTAAGAGGTTTAGAAAAAGAAAATAAAAGAATGTCAACTGATTCAATATATTCTATTGAATCTGCAACTACTTTAAATGATGAAAATTCTTCTGGTCGAACCACCAGAATTTCTTCACCGATAACTCCAACTTTATCGAAAACTGAACTTTTTATCAAACAACGTGATACTTTAAATTCAAAAATTTCACAAACAAAACATCTATCCGAATTAACGTCTAATCAAAAATCGTCTTTAAATAATAATGATACTGATAATTGGTCGAATGAATTTAAAAAAGGTTTTGTGAATAATGATGTCACAATAACTGAAGAACTTGAACGAGTAAAGGAAGAAAAATGGGAATTAATTCAAGAAAATATAGAATTGGTTAAACGTGTTGAGGAATTAGAAGTTGCGATGGAAAATTCTACATTGACACAAAGTCAATTATTAGATAAAAATATCTTTTTAAGAGAAGAAATAGAACGACTTGATGAAGAAGCTACACAAGCATTATATGAACAAAGTACAATGGAAAATGATGTAAAAGAGGTGAAAAATCTGAGATCTGAAAATGCAAAACTTATTACTGAAAATGAAAGACTCAAAAAAGAACTTGAAGCTTCAAGACAAGAAACTAATTCCAGTGAAA